CCCCCCAACTTCATGCTGGCCCCACCTATCCAGCCGTTGATTCCCACTGAGTTTCAGCCTCCCACATTGCCGCTTGTAGTTCTCAGTATTAATTGTTCCACCATTGCGCTCCGGGGGCTCGACCTCATGTCAAGGGTGCCTCACTCTTAACCACTAGGCCAAGAGGTCATTGCCAGTTTTTTCAAACTTTTACTAGTTAGTCATAGTATTCGTTTTGGTAAAATTTATTTTAGTAAAATTTATAGATTGAAGGTTATTATATAATACGTAAAACATTTGTTAAGTAATTATAAAATGATCGTCCGAAAAAATCATACATTATTAAAACTTTCTTGTTTTTCCATGCAAAATCATTTTGCACTTAGGCAACTATATACCAATATTTATCAAGATTGCTCTCTACTTAATAATTATGAATTGCATAGATACCTCCTTCGTCTAACTATTTGCTGATTTTTTGGAATATTAACACCTCGGAATAAAATTGTAGTGAAAATATGTAATATTGTGATAAATAATAAAGAAATGATTTATCGGGTGTAGTATAATTTTATATGTAATATAAGAAACGTTGTTACCTTGAAGTATGAATTTTGGTTTTTTTTTTTCTTCCAAGCATTCTTATTTATTATACCAAATCCATTGTAATATTTAGAACATTTTTTGTTATGTTCTAAAACATATTGAAATTTCGATTGTATCTTTTGTAAAATAATATTACAAAATTAATTACATTAAAAAGACAACGACATTTTATCAATTGTAGTTCAAATCTAACTAAATGAATCGGAGCACATGTAAATCACATTTTTTTCAAGAAAAAAATATTTCATAAAGAAATTGATTTGTGTATTTCTAAATTTCATTTTGCATTGATCTTGTGTATATCTTTTTTTAATAAGGCAATCATTTTTGTTTATTTATTTATTTTCTTGCTTGGATTCATAATGTATAACTTTTACACGTGATAAATAATGATGTGGAAATCATATCTATTGTATATGTAAAAGATACGTTTGAATGATAATCGTGTATCTTGAAAATTTGAATGCTATTTGTTAAAAAAATTATTGCTACGTTTTGGATGAAAAGAATTGAACTATTGTAGTTATTTATACCGCGCTTTTATAGCTTATTTTATAAAAAAAAAATTATAAAAATAAAATTGAAAATATAACATGTCTAATTCTGTTGCAGTTTTATAAGAAATGTTTGTGGGTTAAGAAATGATATTTTTACTTATCATATGTGTTAACGATATTTTTTCGTCAGCCTTTCCCTCGGTAGGTTCTTGCCTTGTTGAGCACCTTATGTTCAGGGTGCAGGGTTCGACTTTGGGGGAGGGCAAAAAACCACACAATGCTCCAAGATGGGTTTTCACCATAGAGCAGGAGCACGGTGGAAGACCGTGTGTCCCCGGTGCATGGTCAATGGCTCACCGGGAGCCGGCTCCCCGGCAAGGCAAGAACCTACTGGGGGAAAAGCTGACAAAAAAATATCGTTAACATCTTTATTTATTTAACTCTTGTTAATCTATATATATAATTGTTGGCAAACTTCAATAAATCTTATTCAACCATCAATTAATAATAATATGAGTTCATTTAATAAAAATAGGTGTTCATTTAATAAAAATAAATTCACAATTTAATAATAATATGTAACTTTCAGTTACACAATTTATTTTGACAGATCTCATTTTGGATGGTGACCATTTATGTAACGCCTTTTTTATGTCCTGAAATACAAAACATTTTAGTTTTTATTTTGATACTATATATTTTTTGGTATTATATAAATACATATTTCACAACTAATTAAAAATGACTACAAATATCTCTATTTTCTATTGCAGTCATACAATGATAAAAAAATATTTTTTTTCTGATATTACAAAGACACATCAAATATTTTGTAAAATCATACCCCAAAGTCACGAGTCGAAGAGATTTAACGATAATGGTTTGTTGTGATGGAGATTCTGACAATGTAAAAACCACGAATGTTGTATGTAAAGAAGTGTTTAATAATATTCAGATTCGCTTTTTTAAATTATTTTTTTCTCATTTATTAAGTTATGTTTTCATTTTATTCTATATTTTTAATTAATTTCACTTTTACTATATCGCTTTTCGTGCAAATGCACGGTGTAAAACTAGTTAAGTTAATTAGCCAATATTTTAATTGATATAGTAACTAGTGTGTAACCCGTGCGATGCACGGGTAAACAATATTAAATAATAATTATAAATTAACGATGATAGTAAACAATATTAACTAATAATTATAAATTAAATATGAGGGTAAACAATATTAATTAATAATTGTAATTAAGATGTGGTGTTAATATGTGACATAATTTATGGTATATCAGTTGTAAACAATATAAAATCATCTTGTATAAAATAAAAAAATATATGTTTAAAATATTAAAAACACCTAAAATATTATATAACGTATGTAAAGTATCTAAAATTTTATACAACATTATTGAAAGATGTGAACTCACCTAAAATTTTTCTAAACTATTGATGGGTCTACTTCTGGATCTGAAGAGAACCGGTGGTTTTGAGCTCAGATCTGTTTGAATCGCCTTCGAACCATTGCTAGACCGCAACAACACCTGCAAGAACTCAACGCCGGAAGTGTTTCAGGCGTAGAGTCTCCGACGCTCAAGTCAGTATGTGAAAGAGATGAAGAGAGGCTGCTCTGAGAGAGCAGCAACAGCTATGGGGGAGAGTATGGAATGAATGGAAGTTAGGGTTTAGAATTACCTCATTTCCTTTATATAGGAGTGAACACTTACTTGAAGTACCCGAAATGCCCCAGTCGGTGGACCTGAAAGGTCTAAATTGCCCCAATCGATTTGTCTCCCCTCCTTGTTGAGTCATGACAAGATTCATTTTTATCCATTGGAGGACAAGAGGTTTCCAGAAATGTCTCAAGTGTGTTGAGTCGTCAGTATACTTCTCGTCTCGAGGTGCGAGGAGTCGACCTTGGGTACAAAGAAGTCGACTCGGGATTTTCTGGCTATTCGGAGGCTACGCTCTTGTTGGTCTTCTCAAATAGAAGTCGACTATTGGGGAGTCGACTTGAATGAAGTCGACTTGTATGGGATCTGCCATCTCTCTCCATCAATCTTATGAAGAGTCGACTTTGGGGCAGTCGACTTGAGCAAGTCGACGGGCGCATGTCGATGTGTGAACGGTTTGAGCCTCTTTCCGGTCGAGTGGGGAGCCTTTAAGCCGATGTATCTTTATATGGCTATATCAACTATTTTATAAATAAAACATGTATAAAATTAGTTTAAAAAATCTTGCCTACAATATATTATTCAATTTCCAGAAGATGATGATAAGTATATGATATAGCCACATAAGGATAATCCGATCCAGAAGCTCCCTACTTAGCCAGTGAACCACTTAAACTACCCGCAGTCGACATGGCTCCGTCGACCTTCCCAAATCGACTTCTCTAGGGTCGGTTCTGCCAAGAGCAACTAAGAAGAAGTAGAAATTGGTCTAGTCGACTCTTTCAAGTCGACTTCAGTACATCGACTTTCTCTAGTCGACACCGATGAAAGAGTAACAGCAAGAGGACAGCACCCAAGCATCCTGATACCCTAAGTCGACTTCCGACAGTCGACTGAACCAAGACGACCTCGTCATTAAGGATTAGTCAAGCGTAGCCTCCGAATCCTCACATATCCACGAGTCGACATCCTATATCTCGAAGTCGACCTCGCATACCTCGACTAACCCGGATGTGATGACGACTCCTCACACTTGCAATATACTTGAAGTTCCACATACTATCAAAGATAAGAAGGAATCTTACGATGACTCAGCAACAAAGGGGAGACGAATCGACAGGGGTATTTTGGACCTTCTAGGTCCACCGACTTGGGTATTTTGGGCACTTCACGTAAGTATTCGCTCCTATATAAAGGAGATGAGGTAACCCTAAACCCTAACTCTCATTCATTCCACTCTCCCCTATAGCTGCTGCGCAGCCTCTCTTCATCACTCTCATACTGACTTGAGCGTCGGAGGCTCTACGCCGGAAACACCTCCGGCGTTGAGTTTTTGCAGGCATTCTTGCGGTCTAGCGACGGTTTAAAGACGGTTCAAGCAGATCTGAGCTCACAACCACCGGTTTACTCCAGATCCAGAAGTAGACCCATCATTTGGCGCCGTCTGTGGGGAGTTCTTAAAGGAAGGAAGAGCTTCACACCCAGTTCCGATCTGTTTGACAATGGCGGAGAAGGAGAGCTTGCAGAGGAACCTGAGCGAGGACTTCAGAGGGACGTGGATGGACAAGAGGCCACCACCACTTCCCACTACCAAA